AGGACTCCCCATCTGAACTGCGCTTCTGGACTGGATGCAACCAAGTGATGCAGGAACGCCCGATTACTGCTCCGCAGAAGTGATACGACTTCAGGACGCATGTGCTCTGTGTTTTTCTGCTGGAAATCCTGAAGAACAACAAGAATCACGATTAACATGATGTATTCTTTTGTTCTTGCAGTAGTTACACAAAAAGGAATCAATGGGGAATCTGTAGCAGCACTGTGTTAAAGTGGCCAGGAACTATTATGCACATTGCACTGTGGGAAATTTACTTCACCTTGATGTGATATTTAACCCTTCCAGCAAAGTGTTGTATGACAAAAGTCAGCTCTGTATTTGAAGAGGGTACAAAGAATGGGTTGTCTTGATGCTGGTGCTTCAACTTGTCCAACAGGGTTTTATCTGTGGCCTGAGTGAGGCTGAAGATACACAGAGAGGACAGAATATCAAAATCAGCCCATAATATCTAGAAGAAACCAACTTAAAACAGCAAGTCAAAAGCAACAGAAATGACTGCATGAGTCAAGTGATGGACTAGAAAGGTAGAAAAACACTGTACACATAATAATTCAGTATTAATTGATGATATTTTGATACACAATACTACTGTCTAACTAGAGCAAGTTTTAACTGAAAGAACTTTAAGGATACACTATTTTTAGATATAAGAGTTTTGTTTGATATAAATTTGAAATGATCATGGATGCAGTTCTCTTACTAAGCCATATTGACATCACAGAAAAAATATATAATTTTGATTTAAAACTGAAGTTATACTTCTAGCTAGTCCATGTTAGCTGCAATTGGAAGATGAAATCCAAAGGAGGTGGCTTCAAACTGCTCAGATGACACAGAACAAAAGGTGATGATTCTTTTGTTTAAGATGAGAAAATTCCTCTCATTCCTAGCTAGACTGACCTGTTTGTCACTGCATTGTATTGTAATGTCTTTTGCCTTAATGCCTTAATTTCCATATTACCCTGACAAGTTAAGTGAGAGAACTCACAGCAGGTGATAATGTTAAAAGACGAGTTCACCCACCTGCTCTCCTTATCCAGCAGATCAAAGAGTCCGGATGACTTCATGCTGATCAGCTGAATGCTGCCACTGTTGTCAGTGTATGTGATGTTTTTCCAGGTGATGCCTTCTGACGCATAATCTTCCTGAAATATATTTTAGTCACAATTACTTAATCAGGTTACTCAGGTGAAATAAAGTTTGTCTGTGTTACTAATGAAGAGACTTATTGGTAACAACCAAAGAGTACATTCAGAAACAAGGACATACAGAACAGAAACATACAGAACAGACGGCTTAAACAGTAACCACAGTGCCCGCAAGTTGCACTGGCGCCCCCCAGGGTTGTGTGCTCTCCCCACTGCTCTTCTCCCTCTACACCAACGACTGCACCTCAGGGGACCAATCTGTCAAACTCCTGAAGTTCTGCCCCCAACCTGCCCTCCATTCAGGACTTATACATTTCCAGAGTCAGGAAACGGGCAGGAAATATCACTGTAGATCCATCTCACCCGGACACAACCTGTTCCAGCTCCTCCCCTCTGGTAGGCACTACAGAGCACTGTACGCCAAAACCAACAGACTCAGGAACAGTTTCTTCCACAAGGCATCACTCTGATGAACAGCTGATTTCTGACTCAGTGTCAGGAACAATTCCTGTGCAATAACCCAGTAACTCTGCCTCTAATCAGCACCTGTTTACTGGTTTCCACTTATTATTTATTTATTCACCATTCTCTATTTCAGTGCTGTTCATACTATGCCTACCTCAGGTCATAAGTCTTATTTATTTTTTCCAGCATCCTTTGCACTCTGATCATTGCACTATTTGTCAATATGTCTATATTGTTTTGTTCATAGTGTGTATATTAGTGTTGTCTATTCTGTAGTTTGTGTCTGATTTTATTTTATTATTATTATTTTATTATTGTATAAGTAAGCACATCGTGAGCAATGTACACATGTGTACACATATCTGGCAATAAAAACTGATTCTGAAAGTTTTAATGTGAAAAATAATCCAAAATAATGGAAAATAAAAACAAATGAAAACACCAAGAAACACTCTGAGTTAGAACTGACTTTATGACGTAAAATGTTACAGTATGAATTATGATAATTTAATTTCAGATACTTTAAGCCCTTTTCAGAGTGGTAACTGAATGCACAGGCTACAAAGGCATTGGAACATCTAACAGAGAGTGCCGGCCATGCAAAGTCCAAACAAATAATGAATATTAACCACCTCTGAATGAAAAATTAAAAAGAAAAACACCTACTTGCTCACACTTGAAGATGTGCTGGTTGATGTAAAACTGCAGTTTCTCATTGGTGTAGTTGATGCACAGCTGCTCAAAGCTGTTTGTCTGGAGGTTCTCAAATCCAAACATATCCAGGACACCAATGGACAAACACTAACAACAAAACAGCAGAACAGGACAATAAGAATAAGAAAAAATAAATAAGGCAGCATACTGGAAACACAGTGTAATAAATTTTCTAATTTAAGGCTTACTTACAATGTATTTTTGATGAATAACGCAACAGTCATATAACTTAAGATACTTAAGCACTTAAAAAATGTAGTTAAAGACTTGTAGTGGAAAACTTATATGCAATTGTTAATAATTTTATATTTCAATAAATGAAAATGTCCAGTGGGAAAATTTACATTAAAGTCAAAGTGGAGCTTTATTTTTCAAAGAGTCCCATTGAAAACATTTGACCCCCTCTCATGTAAGTAACTATGTGGGCCTCCTGCAGCCAATATTTCAGTTTTTATTTTTTTTACTTAATGGTGCAGCATGTGACTCACAGAGACGGACTCCTCCATGTCTCGTCTATTGAGCATTGCATGGTTGATGTGAAGGGTGATCCAGTCAAACAGAGCGCTGTATAAAGACTTGGCCATGGAGTCCCGTGCCCTGTAGGCCTAAACACACAGAAATATCAAACAACTTTCATGCAGACCACAATAGCAGACTTAACTGAGTGTTATGCATGAGGATTACAAAAATGCTAAGTGATAATTTGACAAGATCGTTACTTTTAATGATTTAAAAATTTAACTTAAGGGGGCAGGCCTAATAAACTTTACCTCTTGTAGTGTGTACTGTGAAACCCAGTTGTCGCTGGTAGTCACTACTCTCCTCTGGGTCAAAGTCTTCACCAGTAGCTCCTTTTTCACCTAGAAAAACACAAAACAACATAAACTAACAGTTCAGACAGTTACACACTACTAACTCAAAAACAGAACAGGTTGAAACATGTATGTTCTTAAACAATAAAGACTGTTATTTTAGGCATCGCAATGACACTTTAGGAGTCGCTCTGCTCACTGAGTGAAAATATTACTAGTTACTAATGATTATATACTGTGATTATATCCCAAAACTTTAGATAACACATCCAGATGATTATTTAGCAGTGTGTGTAGCATGTTAGCATACATAATCAGGTGTTTCATTTCAGGAACATACTTTGAGCAGGTCAGACAGTGTAGACAAAACTTCAGCAGGTCCAACCTCCAGGACTTCAGTGTTCTTTGACAGTGTGTAGGTCACATTGCCCAGGTGCAGGATGGCAGAGAGGATGGAAAATATGCTGCATAGTGGAAATACACATACAGATTGCATACATTTTTTTTTTGTTGGTGGAATTAACACACTTGGCAGCCATAATAAAGATTCTCAACTCTAGAATAACGGACACAGACCCCACCAGATTTCAAAAATACGTGCTTATTTTTCCACTGTATTTTGATTTTTTATTTTATCAATGATAAACCTAGAAACCATCAATCCCAATTATTTCTGCAACGTATATAAAGACACTTGTATTGTCAGTCGCACTGTTGAGATTTATTTATGCATATTTTGTGAAAGGTTTTAGTCACAGCATCCACTTCAACAACAAATGTGATTGACTTGTTTCATATGTTGTTAAGTGTCTGCCTTTCAAACTTCAGCTTAATGCACTCTAACTTTATTTCTTAGTGACTGATAATTATTCTCACACTATTTATACAGATTACTAACATTTGTGTCATTTGGTTCACCTTTTCTTGCTGTATGTCAGTAATAAACCAAAGCTGATGTGAAACTTGTGCATTTGTAGCCAACTTACAGCAGTGTCTGTCTGGTAGACAAAACATTGCTGTTTACTTAAACATATAAATGTCACCTTCAATGAAGAACACCCAGTATTGGAGAAGGTAATAGTGGCTGATAGTTGAATAACATCATCTATTTTTCTATATTGATACGTCTGATCAGCTACAAAAACAAGCTGCACATGCAGGTCAAGAGTTACCGAGTTAGATCAACCCACTGTAAATGTAAGAAAAATACACCATAACAGACTAATCATTTGTGCACAACTAATTATCAACTGGATCTCTGTGACTGCACAAGGGGTGTTTGCTGAGGAATGTATTATTAATTAATATAGATATATATATATATATTTTTTAACTTTGGCTGTACTTTCGGGTTTTATGCCCTACTATACATTGCTCTATAGATTTCTTCACTTTAACAGTTACTGTGGGTTCAGTTTGGTTATTCTCCAGGGGAACCAACCTAAACAGGTTACAAACTGTGCTTCTAGCACTTTTATGTGTAAATGATGTCCCAAGGCACTTGTCAACATACTTGCTGCATTTTTGTCCCATTTGACTTGTCAAGCTCTGACTTGTTACTGACACCATTATAGAAACAGAAACTCTTGACAGTGTTCAGTTATTTTCTGTTGGTTAGATTGGTATAGCTGACTGAGAGCTGTGCAGTGTCACGGTAAACACTGTCTGACTGTGAGGCAGAGTGAAATGTTGATGGGCCATGTACAACAAATATTTTTTCTTGCAAATATGTCTGTAATTCCGACCTTTCTTCACCCTCTCCAAGTGAGTGGACTTCACTGTAAAAATAAATGTTTCTGAGACAGTCTAAGCCTTCTGGCATGTACTGTTGTGTCCTTCATGACAAATCCCACAGGTCTGACAGAAAAAAACAACTAATTTTTAATTTTTTTACTAATTTTTTTTCATGTTTGGTGTTTTGCAGGCACATTTTTACGCTGGTCCATTAACTTTTGTGGACTTTTCCTAAAAGGTAGATACACTATCGGTTCTCTGGTTACTTTGACTCTTGCCTGCAGCAAAATCATACATACTGTTTCTTGGTGGAGGCCAGGAACCCGACCATCTCCATAGCTTGATGGAGCCTCTTGTACTCTTGCTTAAGTTTCTCCTCATCATCTAAGCGGAAGTCTTCCTGCAGAACGATCAGACGAGATATAGAGAGAAAGAGGGGATAAATATTACGTCTAGCAACAGCAGTATGTGTATAAATAAAGATAACACTGTCAACACCCTGAACATAATCAAAAATATAGAAATATGAACAACTGAATTGTTTCTTCTTTTTTTTTTTTTTAGTTTTTTGATAGTCATGAAGACATAAATGGTCCCACAGTTATTTCTTAGTTCTCTACACCTTTTGTGTTTTTTTAATTTAATCTAAAAATACTGATTCTCATTCATTGATTTTCATGTGTACTCAACAGTCTATGGTGCTCTATAAATAAATTGACATGGTTGTATTATTGAAGATTAGATTTGAAATCAGACAGAGAAACAACAGCATTTTCAAAAGACATATTGATTAAATAGGCAAATGTATCTGTGTGAACATGGTCTTGAATTCTCAATATAATACAATGATTTTGAGGGAAAGCATGTGCACTATAAGCCTAGTTAAAGTGCAGTTTTACAGTTTTATGCGAGTGTCTGTTTATTCACTTCACAACCAAAGCTTTGATGCACAACGGATTGTTGAGAAGCTTCAAGACATTGTGGGTATGTTTCTAGCATCTAACATCTACCACTGGTTTTCCCCATTTGTTAATGAAATGACACATCATGCCTTATGCTAGTCCTCCACTTTTTCTGAAACTGCTGCTATAAAGTGTACAGATAAAAGGTACCTGCTTGAGGTAGAGATAATCTTGCGGCTTTAATAGATGAAACTCCTCCTGCTCTTCTTTGGACGCTCCCACCAGCAGATAGTAGAACACGTGGTAGTTCCTGCGGGTCAGAAGTTACAGAGCGCCGACAGAGTTAATCCGGGCTTGCGCAAGTGTCATTTCCTGTGTTATTTACACCAAATGTCTCTGCACATGAAGCTGTAAAGGTGGTTAGGTTACACTGAACTTCCTCCAAAGTGTTTTGAGTGATGTCTACTTATAGTAGGGGGTCAGGGTTCATTATACCTCTCACTCTTATCTCTGGACACCAGGCGGCACTTTTCTAGTAGGTACTTCTCAAGTACTGCCCTGCAAGAGACACACAAGAGAGAAGAGAACCCGTAAAGCTTTTGTGTGGTTGCCAACATTGTCCAACTATGACATAGGAAGAAAAACCAAACTGTTAAATGAAACAAATCTATCAACCAAGAAAAGCTGTCAACTAGGCTGCAGAAGATTCACTAAATGAATACAGAGAGTTGGTGAGGAAAACAAAACATGATGCCTCACCCTCTGATGACACCGCTCTCCAGATAGTTGAGCTGGATGAACTTCCCAAAGCGGCTTGAGTTGTTATTCACTGCAGTCCTAGCATTGCCAAAGGCCTGTTTAAAACATAGGGAACATAATTTTTCATTGTGGGCATGTGTCTCACCGAACCTGGCACCCAGACCTAAACACTGTAAATGTTCATCAAATAAATCACTTTGGTTTGTGGAGGCAGCGATTAGCAGCCTCTTGTAACACTGAAGATCAAGTTGGTCTAACGCCGAACTAGGGCAGCAACTACTGGTTATTATCAATTAATCTGTCCTGATTCACTGATCAATCTTTAATCTATAAAATGTCAGAAAATGGTGAAAAATGGCCATCGCAACTTCCCAGACGAAGGTGTCTTCAAATGGCTTCTATTGTCCAATAGTCTAAAACCTAAAGATATTCAGTATAAAACACTAAGGAAACCTGAAACATCCACATTTGAGAAGCTGACATTTCTTTTGTTTAAAAATGACTCAATACAATTAATCGATTATCAAATTAGTTCTAATTTTCTTTTTTTTTTCTTTTTTTTATGTTGCTAGACAACCACCAAATCAGGTGTCCTGTCAGTCTAATCAAAGATTATAGCGCCAGTGATCTGTAATCTTTGGTTTGCTGCTAAGTAATAACTGTCATATTAGCAGAAACTTGATCACAACTCACAGGTCTGTGTCTTTAGTTGCTAAAAACATCTGCTTTAAAAAAAAAAAAAAATAGACAAACAGAGGGCGCTAGCTCTGGCATTGTTTATGGGAGACAGATGTATAAACAGGGAAACGGAGATCCATGTGGGTACATGACACCCTCAGAAAGGGAAGACACCGCTGGTAATACCACCAGCTGTACCTTGAACATAAAATTAAATGAAGGAATTGCATAAAACTAAACAGCATAAATGCATTGCTTTTCTAAAAATAAAATAGATTTTTGATGTTGTGACTTATTAACATATACTGAAACTGTTTGCCTACAAATTAACACACTGACAAGATGTTACAACTGAACCACTTTTTCTTTTTTTTTTACCACAACATTACCATTTCAAAACTCTGAATCTAGGGCTATAACTAACGTTTCTTTTCTTTATTAATTAATCTGTCTATCATTTCCTTGATTAAATCAATTACTTGATTGGTCCATAAAACGTCAGAAAACTCGTGAAAATTTTAATAACTGCCTCCCAAAATGTCATCAAATGTTTTGTATGGTCCACAACCCAAAGATATCCAGTTCACTGTCAGAGGGGAGTAAAGAAACTTTTTTTCATATTTGAAAAGCTGAAATCAGAGAATTTGGATTATGGGTGTTAGAAAAAAAATGACTCAACATGATTAGCAAAATTGTCAATTACTATCGTTGCAGCTCTACATAATTTTTCACTCCTCTTGGCCGAACTCTACTAGTGCTTTCTTCAGTGATGCAGTTAAAGTTAAACCAGGAAACTCACACCCATTATGCAGATGGGCACAAGCACTGAAAAGCACCTGTTTGTTATCAATGAGGCTTCAGAATAAACAAAGTGGAGTTTTACTGTAACACACTTCCTTGTTTAGTGGTTGTTTTTTTTCTGCTCAGCTTATGTGGTTGCTCTTTTTAATGTCTATTACATTTCAGTGAAAAATGTATTTCTCTACTGCACAGCAGATAAAGCAGACACTTTGGGATGACTTGACAAGCATGTGTCATTATTGTCTAAGGAATTAACAACAAACAAACGGGTAGAATAATTGCTGACTAAGGTAATTATTAGTTGCAGCCCATGAGGAAACATTATGATTAATCTCAGTGTTGCATGAATTGTTATTCTATGATTGGAGACAGTAACTAAGGTTCAATGTCAATAACACATCAGACTCCACCCAGGCAAAGTCACTGGGTAAAATGACGCTCATTATCTGCAGCTGACTCTGGATCAGCTAATACATCCAAAGTTTTTCCCCAAAGGAAAAGAAAATTCCAAACTGAGCCCACGCCAGCATCTGAAGGTATCATTCTCCTTCATTCCAGGGTGAGCTAAGCTGAGGTTCGTGTCTTAACAGGCCAGAGTCTACGCACACAGTGAGATAGATATGGTTACTATTGATCGCACGCAGGTAAAGCTGGAATGTTCCTACCCAGTGCACCTCTGTAAACACAGTGTGGGATTTTTCAAAACACACATGCCTTTGATTTTCAACCAGATATATATATATAAAGGAGTTGCGGCATGGAAAGGATGAAAGGCATGTGGAAAGAAAAGTAAAAATGGCATGTGGGAGAGGGAGAGAAATGGATGATTACCATGTCCCAGTTTAAGGGGGGGGGGTCCTCTGAAGGACACTATCATGAAGACGGCCAAGTTGATATTGCGTCTCCTCCCTAACTGAGACAAAAACTATTGATGCCTTCAGGGAGACCTGGGCCCTGTTTCAGAAAGCAAGCTTAACAAACTGAGTTTATCCCTGAGCTCTGAGTTGATTGAGCCTGAGGTGGGAAACTGAGTTTTCGGTTCCAGAACAGCTGATCAGAATAAGTTCAATCAACTGTGAGTATGTTGAACCTGATGGAAGCGCGTGCGGGGGGATGAAAAAAAGGCATCATCAATGGAGCTCCGATACTACAATTTACCATGGCAACAGGTAAATAAAGGCAGAACCTCCATTTTAATAGGGTGGAGCTAGAAAAATTAATGCTACCAACGCGGACCATGATTGGCTCTAAAACGCAGGAGTGGAGGAAGGAGTCAATACGCTAACGTAAGTACTTTCTATACAGCGTGGCACATTCATCATTTAAGTGCTTGAATTCTTCTATAGCCCATTACATTCATTTTATAAATATATAAATCATAAATAGATAAATCATAAAAGCGTTCATGTTCAAGATCATGTTTGGATGAAAAACGAATAGCCTATCCAACCGGGATTTTAAAGTTGTTAAAGATGAGCTCAGATATGTGCTTTGATATGGACAGTATGAATGAGGAAATGAAACGGCTCCGCAGGAGGGGAGGAGTCAGAGAGAAACTTTCAACTTATACTGTGAACATAACCTAATCCTCCAGAGGAGGTTAGGTTCACAGCATCAGTTGCCGGAGTTACTGATCTAGAGTTTATCTGATCTCGCTCTCTGCAACAGAAAACCCAGAGTTTCCCTCAACTCAGGCTTAACATACTAAGAATTTTCACTAATCCCGCTTTCTGAAACGGGGTCCCGGTCCGCTCGTAAAGTTTATCACCAGGAATTTGCCCTAAAAAACTGCCAACAAAATGAGAAACAACAGTGATAAACTGAGATGTTGAAGTTTGATGACACCAGAGTTGACAAAATGAGCTGTGATATTTCCCTTTGACAAATAATGGACAAATAATGAAAAACTGTTTATTTTGGTTGGTTTAGCAAGCAAAAGTGCTAAACATGCTCTGGTTTCTCAAACGTGAGGATCTGCTGAAGATGTCACCTTGGTGTTTTGGTAATTGTTTTGTGATTACATTACTCAAACACATGATCTACAGATCCACTGATAAATAATGAAAATGAATTATTAGAATTATCCCTAATACATAAACACAAAGTCAGGCTGCTAAAAACAAAATAGAGTTTCACCCTTTACTGTATTCACCCTGCACCCTGCTCTTTCATTCACCTGGTTTGGTGGTTTCCAAACTTTTTGGCTTGCGATTATACTTGTGACCCATCATCAGTAGTTGCTTATGATAATGAGTTTTAACTGGGATACACAAAGACTGATTTATACTCTTTAATATTTTATAACTTTTGGAGGCCTTAAGGTTAAACAGGTATCCAATAATTCACAAGAAAATAAAACAATTAGAGTTGGGTGAGGGTTGGGGCAGTTAAATTACTGACTGAATGGTTGTTGTACAAGGCACTACCTTGAGGTCGTAACCCTGAGGTAGGGAACCAGGTAGGGGATTTTCAGGATAGTGAAGGCTGCAAGCTATATGAACCAGACAACAGAAGGGGAAAGTGGGACATAAAACTTTGCACTTCCGCCTTGAGACCTTGGAGAATCCATTATCCCTTAGTTGAAACACAGCCGAACAAAAGAAATAAGAACGAGAGAAAGAGTGCACTCGTGAGAGAAAGCAGGAAACTTTGTTGTAGGGGTTTGTCAGAAGACTAGCTGAGCCTGTTCTGGCATGTTCCTGTGTCTGGTGTTCCTTCAAAGACAACGCCCTGCACATTCCCCCTATGCTTACGACCAACACCCAACACAAACCTTGTGCAACAACCATTCAGTCAGTAAGGTAACTGCCATTATAAATGAATTAAACTTTTCCTGAATTTAAAAATCAAACGACATGCTTTGATATCCTCATTACGTCACAACATTTTGTGGCACTGAGTACATGAGTCAGTGTCAGGTTTTTTTTGCAGCAGAGAGATTAAAATCGCGTGCAGTTTCTACTAAATGCTGACATCAAGTGAGATAACATTGAATAAAAAGCCTGAAGGAAACAAAATGAACTCAGTTTTAGTCTTGGGGTGTGACTCTATCTGATCTAGATATCCCAGGATGGCATGAGGCATTTTGCAAAGCAGCCAGACAACAGAACCATAAAAACAGATTCACACATCATTACTACAGCAGGAATCTTGCCAATATTAATCTGGTCTTAGCCTCTAATGACAGTCAGCTTTAGTGTGAACACTTGTGCATGGCCTCCTCTGGTTCAATCTCGGAATCCATAGGCTCTCGTCTGACGACAATTCAGCCTCTGGGGGCAACCGCCAATGTTTCGGAGCTTCTGGTGAAGCCAGTGAGAATATGGATAATAGACAGATAAAAGACTTCCTCTTCTGAACCTCTGTCATTGTTTATAGTCCGATTAGCAATCTAGGAACACATCTACTATCGCCTGAAGACACTTTGAATGTAATTATACAATTAAAAATAGATCATAAAAAAAATAATCTTTAGAGTTCAGAGATTGAAAAAAAGCTAAATTGTTGTGAGATGATAGCCAGTGGGTTCTGAGATTACGTGTTCCCCCTCTTTTGCTCTCCACACAGACTGTTAACCTGCACCAGCTCAAATGCAATTGGTCAATACCACTCGGACTACAAACTGCTTTATATGCAATCTGCATCTGTTTATAGAGACTACCTCTGGTTTAACCTAAGGCTAACTGTCGTGGCATGACCTCTGTCTTCTTCAGCAAGCTTCTTCCTCATTCACCCAGTTAACAAAAATTAGATTACACCAAAATAACAAGCCATGTTCTCTCCTCAAACTAAATCTCTGCCTTTTTTGAACAAATTAGGAGCACAAATTTAAAAAATGCCAGAAAGATCACTTAACAGAAACAATACTGTCGCTAAGTGGCTTATTTCCAAGGAGAAACTTGTTGGACTTGTTCAGAAAGAGGAAGAAGCCATATTTAGTCACCATCTGAAACCATGCTGGCCCCTTGGGATTGTGTGTTTGTGTGTGTGTGGAAGGGAAATTTTTCAGCCTATTGATGAATAGATAAACCGTGCACTTGTCGCCACAACTACTGTGCTTCAAGAATTTCCACATATTGGTAGCTGGAATAGATTTAAATGGTACAAATTAAAGAGCCACAAGCAGCACTTTTTGTTTCATAATACTGTATTTTAAATGAACCGAAAACAGCTAATGCATTACTTCCCACTGGCAGTGTGTATTCCCATAAAACACAATGCTTGGTATGTCCCAAAGAGCCCCCCCACAAATGTCTGTTGAAATGGTGCAATTCAACAGTAACCAAAATTGAAATAGAAAGCACACATGTTGGTAATGTCGTCTGGTTATTCATAGACATGGGTACTGTAGCACAACGCTGATGTGACAGCCAACAAACCCACCTTTAACCTAAATGTCTGAGAGTGAAAGTAGAGTTGAATGTTAAGTAAACAAGAGTCACACCGTTTTGCCCCAAGGTGCTTTTTGATTTGAGGAAATGTTCAAATGTTGATATTTTCAGCTCAGATACAGATATTTCTGGGACATATTTGTGGCCCTTTATGTTCTGTGATTTGCTGAATCTTCTTTTACAAATAAATGACTAACACAATACCACAGAGTAACTCAGTGTTTACATCACACAGCCCTTTTGTGGTTATTGTTGATTTCACTGATGTTTATACTGCAGGAAGTGCAAAACCCATGAAGCTGATGCATACTTTCTGTGTAGGGGGAGATGTTCCTTCTTTCTGTTTTTGACCAGAAGTGATTAACATGTCTAAAAAAAGGGCAGGAGATGACTTCTGGTACTTTGGAAGATGCAAATGCAGTTTCATTTAGACTCTGCACCCTGACGTAGAACCATAAAACAGAAATCTGCACATCAGTCTGGTGCTCGGCTAACCCATATAACCACGATTCAATGAAGTCAGGTCAGGAGAGTCTTGGTTTGTCACTCCCTGCTGCTGGTTAAGTAAAGTCTATCAAAAGTTCCCATTGCAAAATCTTCACATTGCTTTTCTTGGCCAGCCAACATCAAAACCAAAGATATTGTATTTGCAACGTTAATAAGCAGTAAATCCTAACATCTGAGAACCTGCAACCAGAAAATGTATCACAGTTTTACCTGACAAATGACCAAAAGTGTTGTCTATTAATTTTCTGTTGACTGCCTCATTGTTTAACCCTGGATCTACTAATTTTGAAAGACTGACTGCATTATTTTGTGTATCTGATACTGATAGCGAGACGACACAAAAGTGACAAACTCTTTAAAGTCGAAATGCCTCTACAAAGTTAACAATATGGACAGATGCTAAGACAGATGTGGGCGTCAGTGGTTTTAGAAGGTGGACAGCTTCACAGTGACCTACCTCTAGCACTGCTCCAGCCCCGAGGATGGTCCGTTCCAGCCCAGTGGAGTATGTCTTCTGGCTGAGAGCAGTCAAGCAGTGGATAAGATAACTGCTGCTTTCAGTCTTTCCTGAGCCACTTTCACCAGATATCACGATGCACTGGTTAACCTGCCTGTTCAGCATAGCACGGAAGGCCACGTCAGCTATGGCAAATATATGAGGGCTTAGTTTGCCCAGTGGCCGGTTCTCGTACATCTTGACATACTTGGGATTGTAAACAGGAAGGAACTTATTGGGGTTGATGGCGATGAGGATGTTGCTGGCGTAGGTGTAGATGTTAAGACTGTAGAAGCGTTGGCGTAAAGCCTCAAGAATACTCTTCTCAGTGACAGTTTGGAGGTTACAAAGGTCATCATAGTCCTCTGTGCTGGTTTCTCCATGGTTACCTCCTTTGTTGGCCTGCTGCAGTATGAAGTAATACCCACGGCTCTTAGGGTGCCACCTCTGTGTCTCTGGTGGCCACAGCAGGACTCGGTCCAAAGGGCATTCTCCAGCCTCCAGCAACCTCTCCTCTCCGCCGCTCTCCCTGACCTCCAGCAGACTGTACTGCCGTCTGACATCCAGGCCCAGAGAGACCACTGCATTGCGGATGACGGACTTTGCCGTGTCCCCACTGCTGACCTGCAAGGGACAGTAGGCTAGTGTGTCCTGGGACAGCTTGGGGAATATCTGCACAACACGGGCCTCTCTATCCTGTTTAGGCCCCCTGGCTCCATCTGTAGCGCTCATTCTGATGTACAGATTTAAAGGCAGGCTTCAGCATAACTCACTGCCCCAACCCTCTGCCAGCATCCACTGTAGAAACACACACACACACACACAATGTGACCAAATGTCAAAGTAGGAAATAGCGTAAACGTACAGTTCGATTTCAAACATACTCTTGACAGTGAAACGCATTATTTCTGGTAAAAAGTTTCATGTATCTTTGTTTGCCTAATTTCCATCCACAGTATCAACATCCCTGCTGTATCAACGGCAATCTACATTTCCCCTTATGACCACTAAAATTCCCACATACACATCCGCCCACGTGACAACTGACGAACAGTAACAAGTGTCAAACAGAACCGAAATGTCAAAATAAGTCTCACCTTTCCAGAAAAAACACCAATTTCATCCTTAAAAGACGAAATACCCCTGACAGCGGAGAGAGGGGGAAGATCGCTGCACCTCCTGTTAACGTTAACGAACTCCAATCACACAACTTGACCAAAAAAAAGTTCCTTCACCTGAGCTTCCCAAAAAAAGGTGAGCCGAGAAACCGCTTATTCACAGTTTTAAATGATGAAAAAATTATTTCCCAGCAGTTCGTCGGTGTTATTGCTCGTACAAATCACAGTCTCTTTGAGAAATCAAGGATTAACGTCTCCTCGTCGGCTCGGTTGTGCGTTACTTCCTAGATTTCTCCACAAACACACACACACAAACACACACACCCGTCGACGAGGTGGAAAAAAAAAAGGGTGGTTTTTCCTCCACTGACCTGAGAGATGCCACCCTTTAGCCAACACGATATAACTGCAGAGAAAAAACACCAGAGTTCATAACAGAAGGAGAGAAGGTGAAACTGGCACATTACCGAGGAGAAGTTAATAAACAGCGATACGAGTCAGCAGTTTAATTGAACTCTGAACTGTTATTAGTAAGCTGTGTGGTTTGAACACCTCCTAGCGGAAGTTTGAAGTATTACAACCAACTCACAGCAGAGTAACACATAAAGGCAATGGCGTAAAGTAACTAAGCAGCCTACCAGAAGTACTCAGATATTTACCTTAAGTAAAAGTAGAAATACCACAGTGTAGAAACACTCTGTTTTCTGATTCAAACTTAAGTAAAAGTATAAAAGCTTTTATCATCAAAATCTACCAAAACTGAATGGCCCATTTCAGAATAATGTTTATTACATTATTGTATTATAATTATCGATGTATTGATACATCACTTTCATGTTGCAGCTGGTAGATGCGGGACTAATTTTAACTGATTTATGTACAGTAGTACTGCAGGGTAGTTTGTGAATTCCCCTCTGGGGATCAATAAGATAAGAAAGATAAGATAAGATGTTCCTTTATTGTTTGCCTGTAGGGGAAATCCAGACTGGGACAGCAGCACAGGGGAATGCAACAAGACTAGAATCAACTAGAATCAGTAACTATCAGAATCAAATATGAAATATAAATACACACTGTATACACATGGTTCGATAACGGGGGGGGATGGTAGGGGTCTGACCCCCCCCAGTTAAGGCTTGGACCCCCCCCTAAAAGAGGCAAAAACAACAGTTCAGGGGGTCTTTCTTACCTGTAATTGTAAATATTACAATAGTTTCCACACTAATTCCTTATATTTAAGAATCTTGAAATACGATTTTAGACACCCCTAAATGGACCGTACCATTTCCTAACATTGGCGTTAGTTAAACGTCTGTCTGCCTCATAGACTGTATATAAAAAGGTCTGCACACATCACTCGCAGCAGCAGCTGCTCCAGTCCAGTACATCACGCTAATGGAGACACTGTAAGTTAATGTCAGCAGTTAACTATCCAGCTGCTTTAATACACTTCTCTTTCCTACCTTCAGAGTTTCGTAATTAGCATTTCTTTCACTTAAAATGAGCTATCTGATGTTAGCTAGCTGAGAGCCCACCCTGTCATTTCATGATCACTATGTAATTTCAAATTTTATGTAATTGTCAGCTAACACTGGTGCTTAGGCACTGCGATCCAGAGTGAAATATTGTACTTTTTACTCCACTAAATTAATCTGACAGCTATTGTCCAGTAACTAGTTACTTTTCAGTAATATTCAATAAACATATAAAAGTTAAACATTTCAGATGTCCACGAGTTAATCAATCAGCGAGACATTTCCCCTCTAAACTTCCTCACATGGTTTATATTATTTCCAGCCCAAAGAGGTAAAATGATATGTATATATATTTCACAAAAAGGCAAACATTAGAAAATTGTCCAAATGTTGATTGAAAGTGTGTTTAACAGAACTTTTTTTCTCTTTCCTCTCCCATTAATAAACTCAGAACCCCTCAGATTTATGTTGTGAATCTTTTGAGGGGCCCCGCCCCAGGTTGGGGAACGCTGAACTAAACTACCTAAAAGTATATAAAGTAGTTCAACTAGATTCACCTCACAAGCTACAACAGTAAAATGCTGCTTACACATTGATGTATCAGTATTAACAATCTAATAATATCTATCTATCTATATCTATGTCTTATTAGAGATCACTGTTTTTACTAGAACAGAACATTATTCTTTTACCTGGGCAAGACATTTGTTTTTGTCTCACCAAAAAATGTGAATGTCATTTGTTTATTAAATTGATTGCACAAGGTCCTTTTATTTGTCTTTTTTTTTGGATGTTCCCTGGAGGTGGAGGTGGAGTCAGTGTATGTTTGGGTGATTAAGATTTATTGCCAGGTTTTGATGACACTTTCATGTGTCTTAAAAGTTGTCTTCACTCTTAAAACAGGTTCAGCGGCTCCAAATCCTTTTCCCTTTTTAATAAAGATTTTGGCCGAAGCAGCGGAAAATGAAGCAGTTATTTGGCCTTGAAGGACATTAATTTATTTATTTACAAGGGGGATTGTGGGTTATGTACGCTTATATTTTAAGGTTATGTTTATTGGTATGTGGCTTGTAGAGCTGCTTCAGGTGATGACAAATCCTAATAACTCATTTATACATGGAATCCTGCTGGAATATTATGGGCATTAAAATGGTTTAAGTATTATAACAGGTGATGGATACAATAAAAGCAACACCAAAACCTTAGTGCTTTTGTTGTTTCACAGAGGTGTTTATGCACAGCTGAAATGTGCCTGTTATGTGCAGCAGTGGCGGTGTTATGCAAATAACAGTAACAGTTTTATCATCAGTTAATATTTAAAAAGTCACAATTTTTAGGTCTAAAAGCAAGTTTATTTTAAATCACTGGAACATTTTCTGCATGTTTTTTTTACCTGCACAAGTAGACACAATTATTTTTCCTCTTCATATATAAAGGCAAGGCAAGTCTCTTCTGTATAGAGGTATTATAGCCTATATAAAGTGCTTTACATAAGCAGTAAAGAGAAAATACAACATATAACATTTAAATGCATATTAAAGGTGTAGAAACAATTTTAAAAACCTGATTTGGATGGTCACTGGTGATTGCCTACAGGATTTTGTCAAATGGAGTGCAAGAATTTTAATTGGTATTAAAGGAGAAGTCTTTGACATAATCAAACCCGAACAGAAAGCAGAAGTCAAATCTGTGCTTCACTCTATACCCTCAAGTACAGTTTAAGTGAGAAACAGAAATTCAAACTTAAAGCACACGTAACAATAAATACAAATAAATATTTACTGCTTTCTCAACAGATATGTAATTGCAATGTAAATGTTTTAGCAAGTCAACAAGATTTTTACCTCTTTTTCGAGCAGGCTGTTTTAATAATTGCACGTCTTCAGATTTTTTAATAAATGAGTTCACAGGACGATGGCCCAAGGTGAAAAGTAATTGTTCACATGGCACCCTGACAACTGAGGACATCCAAAATCAATAACATGTCTTATTATGACCGGTTTTGCTTATGCTAATGCAGCGCCTGTCCATTCAGGTATATAATGACTGCAGAGGTGTTGAGCCGGTGTATCCCAATTTAGTGAAGAAGCTCGCAGACACACTGACAGCTTATTATAGTGTGAGGAATGAAGTGAGGCTTGTAAAGTGTTACTCAGCACAAATCAGCTGCTGTTGATAACGGCTACCCGTAGAGGCAGCCAGATTCACCCGCACAGGAAGACAAATTAGGACACACACATGTATACACACACGCACGCGCACACATGCACATAATTTCTCTGTTTCAGAATCACAAAATCATCACTTCTGACAAAACACAAAACAAATTCTGCTGAGTGCTGTGATAAACATGTTTGTGGTCATTTCTGGTATGTTCCTTCTGATTACTTTAATGGGGACGATGATGACTTGTCATATTAGGTGTCACTCTTGTTCCTGCTGGACTGAGCCAGTTCTGCAAAGACACACTGAATCCAGTTCAGTAGGCACAGGAGTACACAACTCAAAAAACTCCACATCATCACAATCCCAAAATGATTAAAAGCACAAAATGTGACAAATTATGGTTCTATTTCAAACTGCCAGGCAAAGTAAGTCCATAGTTGACACATTGATAATGCTTTTAGTGACTGAAACATCTTTGTCTTGGAAAATCTTTAAGTAGTAATCATTTAGATATAAATATAGAGTGTTGAAAACAAACATATAACAAAAGAAAACTGCAAATGAGTGCTGTGCTTCACAGATCACACTGACTTGACCTTCTGTCATCCATCGTTGGCCTTTCTTCTTCTTCTTCTTCTTCTTCTTCATAAACCCCCCATAAATCAGGGGAAGCTGAATTCTGTTCAGTGTGTCTGGACATGCAAAGACTTTTACAGCATTCCTCTTTGTTTTACAGTACAGGTGGCCCCTCTTTTTCATCCTGTGCATCCTTCTCCCCTCACCTCTCCGCAGGGGCTCTCAGGTATGCGGGAGCTCATTCTTTCATGTCAGACACTGAACTTAGCCACTGTGAACAATTCCTGTTTGGTTCAATGCTCACTAATGAGCTAAGTTCTGCATCTTCAGAAAAGTCATCCCAGAGTGGCATTTGCAACAGGAAACCTGAGTCTCATTCTGCAAGAAAGAAAATCTTTATACAACTCATCAAATTAAACAGATTCAAATCAAACACTCAATCCTGTAAAAATAAGAACGTCTGCTGCTTTCATGCTGTGATTCGTCCAAACGAGAAATCCATGTACACTTCGGGCAAAGAAGTCATTAAATATAGAAAAAACATAGAACATTTAATCATAAAAACAAACTATATTAGTCTAATATAGTACACTGGCCAGTGGCCACTAACATGAATGTAAAATGTGGGGAGACACACTGTAAGATGAGCCAAAAAGTTAGACCAAAGTTTATTACTTTCAAATTTCAAAGGACTGAATAGTTCTTTTTAGGACATGCGTTAGTAAGCAATGTAAAAAGGAAATTTCCTCACATCACTCCTCCAATACAATGGTAATAAATACTCATTATAATTTACTTCATTATGTCATGAAGTAAAAACAAGTTAAAGTGAAAATTCTCCAGTACAAGTAAAAGTCCCCAGTTCAAAATTTTAGTCAAGCAAAGTTCAGAAATATTAATAGCGAAATGTACTTAAAGTATGAGTAAGTAAATGTACTGGCACCTGTCAGTGTTATAATATTACATAAGGTATTATTGTATTATAAAAACTGATGCATAAAACATGTAAGCTGTGCTAACGTCGCAGCTGCTCACGGTGTATCAAATGTGATCATGTTTATAGGTTTCGTCTGTATAATCTGAATTTGTACATAATAGCTATAGCATTCATATAAATGTAGTTCCACATTTTCTCTATATTTTACTTAAGCGCAATACTTAATGTAATGTATTTAGTTGCTTTCCACCACTTCTCAAATGTAATTACTAAAGAAGAAGAAAAAACAGTAGTGGGTCA